TCCTGGGAAGTCCTCGTGTTGCACCCCTTTATTCATTTTTATTTCTTTCTTCTTACTAGGATGGGTGACCTCCTGGGAAGTCCTCGTGTTGCTACCCTTTTTTTCATTTTTATTTCTTTTCTTCTTCATTCGAAATTTCTTATGGTAGACAATCGTTTCAGGTAAGCATTAAGTCTTCAAACGTATGGCGTGTATGATCATATGTCGGCAACAATGCACCGTATCCGATGAGATGTGCTTATATATATTTATTATGCGAAGACTGATGGGTGCGATCATACCAGCACTAATGCACCGGATCCCATCAGAACTCCGCAGTTAAGCGTGCTTGGGCGAGAGTAGTACTAGGATGGGTGACCTCCTGGGAAGTCCTCGTGTTGCACCCCTTTTTTCATTTTTATTTTCTTTTCTTCTTCTTTCGAAATTTCTTATGGTAGACAATCGTTTCAAGTAAGCATTAAGTCTTCAAACGTATGGCGTGTATGATCATATGTCGGCAACAATGCACCGTATCCAATGAGATGTGCTTATATATATATATTATGCGATGACTGATGGGTGCGATCATACCAGCACTAATGCACCGGTTCCCATCAGTAATCCGCGGTTAAGCGTGCTTAAGTGAGAGTAGTACTAGGAAGGGTGACCTCCTGGGAAGTCCTCGTGTTGCACCCCTTTATTCATTTTTATTTTCTTTTCTTCTTACTAGGATGGGTGACCTCCTGGGAAGTCCTCGTGTTGCACCCCTTTTTTCATTTTTATTTTCTTTTCTTCTTCTTTCGAAATTTCTTATGGTAGACAATCGTTTAAAGTAAGCATTAAGTCTTCAAACGTATGGCGTGTATGATCATATGTCGGCAAAAATGCACCGTATCCAATGAGATGTGCTTATATATATTTATTATGCGAAGACTGATGGGTGCGATCATACCAGCACTAATGCACCGGATCCCATCAGAACTCCGCAGTTAGGCGTGCTTGGGCGAGAGTAGTACTAGGATGGGTGACCTCCTGGGAAGTCCTCGTGTTGCACCCCCTTTTTCATTTTTATTTCCTTTTCTTCTTCTTTCGAAATTTCTTATGGTAGACAATCGTTTCAAGTAAGCATTAAGTCTTCAAACGTATGGCGTGTATGATCATATGTCGGCAAAAATGCACCGTATCCAATGAGATGTGCTTATATATATTTATTATGCGAAGACTGATGGGTGCGATCATACCAGCACTAATGTACCGGATCCCATCAGAACTCCGCAGTTAAGCGTGCTTGGGCGAGAGTAGTACTAGGATGGGTGACCTCCTGGGAAGTCCTCGTGTTGCACCCGCGTGTATGATCAAATGTCGGCAACAATGCACCGGATCCAATGAGATGTGCTTATATATATTTATTATGCGAACAATGATGGGTGCGATCATACCAGCACAAATGCAACGGATCCAATCAGAACTCCGCAGTTAAGCGTGCTTAGGCGAGAGTAGTACTAGGATGGGTGACCTCCTGGGAAGTCCTCGTGTTGCACCCCTTTTTTCCATTTTTATTTTCTTTTCTTCTTCTTTCGAAATTTCTTATGGTAGACAATCGTTTAAGTAAGCATTAAGTCTTCAAACGTATGGCGTGTATGATCATATGTCGGCAACAATGCACCGTATCCAATGAGATGTGCTTATATATATTTATTATGCGAAGACTGATGGGTGCGATCATACCAGCACTAATGCACCGGATCCCATCAGAACTCCGCAGTTAAACGTGCTTGGGCGAGAGAAGTACTAGGATGGGTGACTTCCTGGGAAGTCCTCGTGTTGCACCCCTTTATCATTTTTATTTCACTTCTTCTTACTAGGATGGGTGACCTCCTGGGAAGTCCTCGTGTTGCTACCCTTTTTTTCATTTTTATTTCTTTTCTTCTTCTTTCGAAATTTCTTATGGTAGACAATCGTTTAAAGTAAGCATTAAGTCTTCAAACGTATGGCGTGTATGATCATATGTCGGCAACAATGCACCGTATCCAATGAGATGTGCTTATATATATTTATTATGCGAAGACTGATGGGTGCGATCATACCAGCACTAATGCACCGGATCCCATCAGAACTCCGCAGTTAGGGGTGCTTGGGCGAGAGTAGTACTAGGATGGGTGACCTCCTTGGAAGTCCTCGTGTTGCACCCCTTTTTTCATTTTTATTTTCTTTTCTTCTTCTTTCGAAATTTCTTATGGTAGACAATCGTTTCAAGTAAGCATTAAGTCTTCAAACGTATGGCGTGTATGATCATATGTCTGACAACAATGCACCGGATCCAATGAGATGTGCTTATACATATTTATTATGCGAAGACTGATGGGTGCGATCATACCAACACTAATGCACCGGATCCCATCAGAACTCCGCAGTTAAGCGTGCTTGGGCGAGAGTAGTACTAGGATGGGTGACCTCCTGGGAAGTCCTCGTGTTAAGCATTAAGTCTTCAAACGTATGGCGTGTATGATCATATGTCGGCAAAAATGCACCGTATCCAATGAGATGTGCTTATATATATTTATTATGCGAAGACTGATGGGTGCGATCATACTAGCACTAATGCACCGGTTCCCATCAGAACTCCGCAGTTAAGCGTGCTTGGGTGAGAGCAATACTAGGATGGGTGACCTCCAGGGAAGTCCTCGTGTTGCACCCCTTTATTCATTCTTATGATAGACAATCGTTTCAAGTAAGCATTAAGTCTTCAAACGTATGGCGTGTATGATCATATGTCGGCAAAAATGCACCGTATCCAATGAGATGTGCTTATATATATTTATTATGCGAAGACTGATGGGTGCGATCATACCAGCACTAATGCACCGGATCCCATCAGAACTCCGCAGTTAGGGGTGCTTGGGCGAGAGTAGTACTAGGATGGGTGATCTCCTGGGTAGTCCTCGTGTTGTACCCCTTTTTTCATTTTTATTTTCTTTTCTTCTTCTTTCGAAATTTCTTATGGTAGACAATCGTTTCAAGTAAGCATTAAGTCTTCAAACGTTTGGCGTTTATGATCATATGTCGGCAAAAATGCACCGTATCCAATGAGATGTGCTTATATATATTTATTATGCAAAGACCGATGGGTGCGATCATACCAGCACTAATGCACCGGATCCCATCAAAACTCCGCAGTTAAGCGTGCTAGTTAAGCGTGCTTGGGCGAGAGTAGTACTAGGATGGGTGATCTCCTGGGAAATCCTCGTGTTGCACCCCTATTTTCATTTTTATTTTCTTTTCTTCTTCTTTCGGAATTTCTTATGGTAGACAATCGTTTCAAGTAAGCATTAAGTCTTCGTATGGCTGCGAATGAACAACATGTTCGATGAACGGCTCGTGAGCAAACTCGATTAAAGCTCGTTTATATTCGCTTGATTGGGTTAGCAACGAGAAAGGTTGTTTTCTTCTTCTTTCGATAATTTTTTTGGGTAGGTATCGGTTCAAGTACGTATTAAGTCTTAGAACGTATGGCGTGTACGATCATATGTCGGCAACAATGCACCGGGTCCAATGAGATGTGCTTATATATATTTATTATGCAAAAACTGATGGTTGGGATCATACCAGTACTAATGCATCGGATCCCATCAGAACTCCGCAGTCAAGCGTGCTTGGGCGAGAGTAGTACTAGGATGGGTGACCTCCTGGGAAATCCTCGTGTTGCACCCCTTTTTTATTTTTATTTTCTTCTTCTTTCGAAATTTCTTATGGTAGACAATCGTTTCAAGTAAGCATTAAGTCTTAGTATGGCTGCGAATGAACAACATGTTCTATGAACAGCTCGTGAGCAAGCTCGATTATGTTCGCTCGGTTGGGTTAGCAATGAGAAATATTGTTTTCTTCTTCTTTCGAAAATTTTTTTGGTAGGTATCGGTTCAAGTACGTATTAAGTTCTTCTTTCGAAATTTTTTTGGGTAAGTATCGGTTCAAATACGTATTAAGTCTTAGAACGTATGGCTTGCACGATCATATGTCGGCAACAATGCACCGGATCCAATGAGATATGCATATATTTATTATGCAAAGATTGATGGGTGCGATTATACCAGCACTAATGCAACGTATCCCATCAGAACTCCGCAGTTAAGCGTGCTTGGGCTTGGGCGAGAGTAGTACTAGGATGGGTGACCTCTTGGGAAGTTCTCTTGTTGCACCGTTTTTTTATTTTTTATTTTTATTTTCTTCTTCTTTCGAAATTTCTTATGGTAGACAATCGTTTCAAGTATGCATTAAGTCTTAGTATGGCTGCGAATGAACAATATGTTTGATGAACGGCTCGTGAGCAAGCTCGATTAAAACTCGTTAATGTTTAGAGCTGGCAAACCTGACCCGACTGCGGGTACCCAACCCGACTGCCCGAAACCAAACCCAACCCAACCCGATTTGACCAAATAATTCAACAAACCCAATACGCCTAATCCGAAATCGAAACTGACCCAACCCAGAAATGACTTGAAATTTTGGGTACCCGAACCCGAAATTACCCGAATCCAAACGTCTTGAACCCGAAAATGACCCGAACCCAATCAACCCGACAGATTAACTCGTAATGACCCGAATTAGAATTAATTATATTTAAATTGTAAAATAATTAGCAAACATTATATATTTGATAGTCTTAATCCAATGGCTAATTGCTCAATTAAGGGCAAAACTTTTCTATCTCAGCCTAATTTGGGGCACAACGTTTCAATTTGGTCTATTTGGGGCAAAACGTCCCGAAACCGCGTCAAATAGGGGCAAGCCGTCTAATTGGACGGAAGGTGTGTTTCACACATTAGTACGGCGCGTTAAGGCATATAAGGCTGACACGTGGCAATGTAATTTCAAAATTCAAATTAAATTGTTTTTTTTAGAACTAAATTAAATTATTTTGATTTAAAAGAAATTAAAAGGAAAAAAAATCCTTTTTCCCTAAATGAAAAAGCAGCATTTTCATCCAAATATAAAAGGGTTTGGATGTTAGTTTTTTTGTTCTTATTTTCTTCTTCTGTTGAAAAAAAAAAATCTCTCTTCATCTTCTCCTCAATCAGTTCATCTTCTGCAAAAATCTTCTCTGGTTAAAGGAGCCTCTAAAATCAACGATTTCCAGCCATAAATGAGAGTTGATTTGTGAAAGTATTTTTGTGGATTTGTTTGAAAACGCTTAGTTTAAGTTTCTGCCTTAGGCTTTGTTATTTATTTATGGTTGTGTTTTGTGTTTGTTATGTTGATTTTGGGTAAAAAAATCGATTTTGGGTATTGGGTTTATGCAAAAAGTGTTGTATTATGAGTTATTTGTATGAATGGGTTCTGGGTTTGTGATGGCTTTTGAAAATTTAGGGTTTATTCATTAGTTAATTTGGGGATTAGGGTTTCTCGGTTAAATTGAAAGAGATGAGCTAATAAGGGTAACAGGTTTTCGGATTTTACAAATAAGGGCAAAACCTTTTGCAATTTTTTGAATTTTCTGGAATGTGTTTCTTAAGTAGTTTTCTGTTGGAATGAGTTTGTTGTTTGTGTTTAATCTATTTGCATCTATCATTTCTCTATTAGTAATGAAGTGTGTTGATTTATTATTTTATTTGTTTTTTTCTTTTTCAAAACTTGGAGATAGATTTATTGTGGGCATAACCCTATAAATTACCAAAATCCTCCATTGTTACCAGAAAACCCACGCTTCAAATGAATTTGGCTAACTCATGGCTAACCCAGATTTCTTTTATAACCATTTTAAAGCCATTCATTCTTTATTCTTTTTTTTTATTTCGTTTTTTAATTTCCCATTTTTAATCCAATTTCCTAAATTACTTTTTAATAATTAAAAAACCTTTTTACATGAGTTAACGGCGCCACGTCAGCGTCCGTTAACTCTAACAGAGCGTTTTGGCCACTCTCGAAAAGGTTTTGCCCCAATTAGACGCCTTGCCCCTATTTGACGCGATTTCGGGACGTTTTGCCCCAAATAGACCAAATTAAAACGTTGTGCCCCAAATTAGGCTGAGACAGAAACATTTTGCCCTTAATTGAGCAATTAGCCTAATCCAATTTTAGTATTTTACCACATCAAATCTCAATTTCATGATATTTATTGCTAATTTTTTTAGTCTTGAATTGAAAATTGAAACTATACCATTAAAATTGATTATTACAAATAATAAAAATTATTTTTATTTTAAAATATTAGAATTAAATTATATTTTTCTAATCATTTAAATATTTATACTTTAATATAATATAGTTCATATAAAAAATCAATGCCAATGAATATTTCAATTAATACAATATATTTATAAGTTATAAGTTATATAAAATTTGAAGAGGTAAATAAAATAGCATTATAAGTTATAATATAAATAAAATGGATTAAATTATATTGTGTTGTTGTGCAGAGTAGTCCTCAGTGTGTGATGCAATGCAATCCCCAAAGTCTCACATTTGTTCAAATTAGGGTCTAACAGATTTTAATTTGTTTAATTTAAAAGCTTGCATTTTCATAATTTGTTTAATTTAATGTTTAATTAGTTTTAATTTGAAATAATTTACAATTAATTTTCATTAATTAGTTTAAATTAGTGTTAAAACATATGCATTACATATTTAATTTATGTTAATTTAAAATTTAAATGTTGCGGTTAGTTTAGTTTAAATATTTAATTTATATATTAGTCAAGGATCATTGGATCAAGTTATTGTTCAATTTTGATTCTTATATAATATATGTATACTATAAATATATATTTGTTTTTTTAAGTAATAAATATTATTAATAATAAGGTAAGAGATTACAACAAATCAATCAAGTTTGATGTTCTAGAGACACCAAGATTGGCCAAGGAATAAGCCTAAAAGTTTCCCTCCCTAAAAACATGAACAAAAGTGACATGGCCTAAAATAAAAAACAAGATTTGAAAGTCTATTATATAATATATATATATATATATATAGTATAAATCAGAGACATGGCTTAAATATATATACTATATATATGAAATCAAATTGATATTTTAGAAAAAAATTGGTTTTTATTAACTTACACATTGATTTGCTAAGGGACTAGCAAAGTTCAAGTGTGGGGGAAAATATGATTGAGCCAAAAACAACCCTATTTTTATGGCTATTTTATTATGTTTTTGGAGCTATTTATACTTAAATATATGTTATTTTGATAATATTTGTATTTTGAGTCTTTATGAGATGTGAAATTCGGAATTTGTTAATTTTCACTACTTTTGGAGCTATTTTGATGACTTTTTACACATATATGAGCAAAGTAATTTTGAGTATGGATTTGAAGATTTGAAGTTCGTGTTTGAAGACTTATTGAAGATAGTTTGAAGATCTGAAGATCATTGAAGAATTATTTCAAGAAGCAAGAATTGAAGATTGGAGCTTTAATTGCGAAGGATTGAAGACTAGCCATGAAGAAGCCCGAAAGCTTTGGAATTTTGAATATTTTATATGGGATAATACTCACCCCATATAAGCCCATAATTGGAGTTAAAATCCCAATTAATGCTGCATGATCCAAGGAGAATATCCAATTCCCGCAAAATCCCGATACTAGTCCTAACAGGATTAGGATTCAGCGCAGTCTCGGTAAAAAGGCCATAACTTTCTGCTCAGACCTCCGTTTTAGGCCCGTGAGTAGGCGTTAAAAAGCTAACTTCGAGATCTACAACTTTCCTTTGAAGTCTAAGACTCAAATATGCCATCTTCAAGCCCGAAATTGCCGTCGAAGTTTCTGCACGATTCCAGAATTTTTCAGGATCCTATTTTGACTTGGATTCCACTCTAGGAAGACTTTTAATCCAACTTGGAGACCAAGTCAGCCCTTAAAATGTCCTAGAGTCCTATCCTAATTAGAATTGGAGTCTTTAGGGTTATTTCCACTATAAATAGCCACCTTAGATCTAGGTTTTTATGTATTGTATTTTATTCCCTTTTGAAAATATTGTAGAAGTTGAAGATTTGGAGGATATAGCCTTGGAGCCGCCGCCCCCCTCTTCTTCCGATCCATAGATAAGCTTTCTTCTTCTTTTCTTTGGATGATCACTCAATTCATGAGTGAGTAATCCTTTTCTTTTCTCCAATGTAGAATTTAATTGGTCTCTTGACTTATATCATGGTGACATTTTGTGCTTTTATATGAAAATTGTTAGGGTATTTCTTAATTCTCTGCATGAATTCTATGTTAACTTGTTTTGATGGATTGAAGTCGACACTATCTTGATAAATTAAGTTTACATAAGCTAGTTAAACTTAGAGTGGTAATAACTTGAGTTTAATCGTTGGTAGCAATTGGAAGTAATGGTAATAATTCTTCCAAGGGATTTAAGAATCAATAGATAATTTGATTTGTTTGTTGTGCTTGTTCATAAATTACTCGCTCTTAATGCTTTGTTCTTGACAAACTAATACACCATTAATTTGGCAATTGGTTGTTTGGAATAAAAGGGATAATTTAGACTGGTAATAAGTGATTTTATCTAACTTGGTAATTTAGGATTTAATTCCAAACAAACTATCCATTGTTTTCATAATTTTTAGATATCAATGATCCATGTTATTGTTGTCAAGAGGAATATTAATTCTACGTTGGAGGGTTTTCTTAATTATTTTCTGAATTTATTCACTGCTTTCTGATTAATTGTTTTCTTTAATTTTTTTGATTCCTTTCTTAAATAATTTTAATCTTTAGTTTAATTTGACTTAATTCTACTTTCAAAATCCTCTTTATTTTGTTTCTTTGCTTAAAGAAAAAGAATAATAACCTATCTCTCTGTGGATTCGACCCCTACTTGCCCTAGTTATTTTTAGTTAGTAATTGTTGAGATTATTTTGTGATTTGCTAACGACCGATCACAATTTTGGCAGATGCTATGCAGATGCTATGCACCTGAAAAAAGAGTTCATCAGTCTCTAAGCCTTCGTTTGGTTTGAAGGTTTTGAAGGGGTGTGGAGGGTTTTGGAGGGGTGGTCCCTTGTTTGGTTGGAGGAGTGGGCTATTTGAAGGAGTTTGGAGGAGCCATTAAAACTCCTCCAAACCCCTTATATTGCACCCCTCCAAATCGGGGTATTTTGGAGGGGTGGAGTTTTGGTTGAATTTTTGTTGTCAAAATTACCCTCATATCTTTAATGTAAATCCAAAAATAACCTTAATCAATTAAACCCTATC